ACAACAACAACAACAACAACAACAACAACAACAACAACAACAACAACAACAACAACAACAACAACAACAACAACAACAACAACAACAACAACAACAAAAACAACAACAACAACAACAACAACAACAACAACAACAACAACAACAACAACAACAACAACAACAACAACAACAACAACAACAACAACAACAACAACAACAACAACAACAACAACAACAACAACAACAACTCACGCACACGCACACGCACACGCAGGCACACTCACACCAACACATACACACACGCACGCACGCACACGCACACGCATACGCACACGCACACGCACACGTGCACACGCACGCGCACGCACACACAACACACGCAACACACGCAACACACAACACACACAACACACGCAACAAACGCAACACGCACACACACACACAGACACAGACACAGACACACACAGACACAGACACACACAGACACACACACACACAGACACACACACACACACACACGAGCACACCTACCGCTGCAAGCGCGGTGGCGGATAACCTTGGGGCAGGGCCAGGGCTAGGGCGAGGGCCGCCCACCTCTAGGGCAGGGCCAGGGCTAGGGCCTGCCATGGCGGGACCAGGCCTAGGGCAGAGCAAGGCTGGGGCCACGGCGGGGCATGGCAGGGCCCTCAGGGCTTAGTGGGCCCCGGAAACGAAAGGGCAATTTTTTTACCGGTTCCGTCTTGCCGTTTGTTTGCCGGTTGCGACGCCGTTTTTGTTGCCTGTTCCGACGCCGGTTCCGTTTTGCCGTTTTTTTTTGCAATTTCCAATCGACATTTTTGTGGAAATGGTGCAAAGATGGCCCTGCCGTTTCCGGGGCCCAGTAAGCCTTAGGGCAGGGCATGGGGGATCTCTAAAGAGCCCTAGGGCAGGGCCAGGGCTGGGGCCAGGGCCGCCCACCCCTCAGATGGGGCCGTGGCCATGCTTGTCGCACGGGGCCCCTCTCCCTGGAAGAAGAAGGAGCTGCATAGCCATGCACTTTCGGAGCTCCGCGCGGATCTCGGGGGTCCGTGTTGGGCCTTCCTGGCGGCGCCTCCAGCGCCGCCCCTGGCGCGTTCCGCGCGCCACGGGGGGGTCCAGCGCGGATCCCACAAATCCGCGCGGAGAACCAACATGTTATGTTTATGCTGTTCTTACTCCCTCGTGCTTAATTGTTTCGCGAATTTCCTGCTCTTCCTCCTGTCGCGAAATTCCCGCCTGATCTGATTTCCTGCTCCTGTCGTGCTTAGTTTTTGCCGCGAAGTGTCCCTCAGCTGCCCCGACGGCGTATTTGACCCAAGCCCCCGCTGACAAACTAATAAAGTTTTCGCACGTGGCGTTCCCTCCTGGTTCCAAACCCCAGGACCATCACAGACCGACCTGGCTCGACACATGCCGCGGAAAGACTGGTTCTACGGCTCCTGCAGTGGTTGCGTTCGCGGTGTTGCAGTTTTTTGTCGCAGCGTCAGGTCTCAGGGACGATCCGACTCGACTCATCTGAAAAAGGTGCTGTTCAGACTCTGGGGCGCCCCCAGACTCCGGGGGGCTGGGGGTTGCTCCGACTTTGTCTCTCGTTGTCCGACTGTGTCTCCTCGCTCCTACCCCCTGCCTCCTTCTCCTGGTTCTCCTCCCTGTTTCTCTTCCTACTCCCTCTTCGCCTGCTTTTCCCCCAGCACCTTTTCAGATCTCGCAGGTCCGGCCCGTGATCCGAATTCGGCCTGCTTCGGTTCGGACTCGGGCGCGGCGGTCCGAGGTCGATCTTCGGTTCGGGACGAGACGTTGGACATCCGGGCCGTCCCCGTTCCGCCTGCGGGCCTGCCCGACCCTCCCGAGTCGTGGAGAGCCCACGACGGGACACAGGGGCGGCCAAGAGGGGGGCGATGACAAGGAGGGGTGGGTATCATGGCAGTGGCCATGATGCCTCCCGCCATCTCGTGGCCCCGGCTTCGCCTCTCAGCACGTACCTCGGAGCACCGGCGTCCGCGCACATGCCTCGGGCCATGATCTGCGAAGCCCCCCTCTCTGACGCCCCCCCCTTGGACGCCGCAGGCCTTGGGGTAATTTCGGCGCCCGGCGGCCCTCAGCGGGCCTTGCAGGGCCGTGGGGCAGGAGGCTGGTCGGGACGAGGCGCACGGTCCCCCAGAGAAGGACCCAGACCACCCGAGGAGCCGCGCTGCAGAGGACAGCAAGCACACGGCGTTCTGGACGTCTGGGGCCTCTGGCGCCGCCCAGAGCGACTGGTGGCGAGCGCGAGCCTGCGGGGATGTTTTGATGGCCGCGGTGTTGGTGGTGATAATGATGATGCCAACAGTTCTGGGCTCCGAGAGGCTGGGGTCGGAGGATCGCGTCGCATCGTCGATGCATCGCCGATGTGGCTCGATGCGGAGCTTGATTTGATTCCACGCCGATGGCGCCGATGCATCGCCGACGTCGCCAGTGCATCGCCAATGCATCGCCGATGCATCGGCGATGCAGCGTGGTCCTCCGACCCTTTCCGCTCCGACCTCATTCCAGGAGGCCTCTAATCGTGTGTGGTGATGGCAATGGGATTATTATGAAGATGTCGATTGTGACGGTGATAGGGAGGCTCGGTCTGGGCGTTGGGCGGCCACACCGCCCCGACCGCTCACGCCTTCGTTCCCCCCCTCCCTTCGCCCCTGTCGCCTGACCTCTCTGCTCTCCCTCTCTCTCTCTTTTTCGCTATGTGTCTCCCTTTTTTTTTTCTCTCTCTCTCTCTCTCTCTCTCTCTGTCTGCGTCTCATTCTCTCTCTCCCTCTCTCTCCCTTGTTCGCTATGTCTCTACTTCTCTCTTTCTCTCTCTATTTCTTTCCCTGTTTCTTCTCTTTCCCTTCTCATAAGTTTACCTCTCTCCTTCCCACCATCTATGTTGGTAGTACGTATAGTTTATAGATCTCTCGCTCTCTTACTCTCTCTCTCTCTCTCTCTCTCTCTCTCCTTATCCCTTTAGTTGTGGCTTGTTTGTGCCATCTCGCGTCAGTTCTATATGCTATATCTCTTACTATCTCTCTCTCTCTATCTCTTCCCTCTCTCACACGCACTCTCTTATATATTCCCTCTTTATCTCTCGCTCTCTCGCTCTCCTATCTCTGTCTGTCTGTCTCTCTCTCTCTCTGTCTTTCTCTCTTTCGTTTTTTTGTTCCTCTCCCTCTCGCTCTCTCTTGCTCTCTCTCTCTCTCTCTCTCTGCTTTCCCTCGCTCCTGCCTCCCTCACCCCTCTTTTTCCCAGTCCCCCCCCGCCACCTCCACCCTCCAGGCCGTCTCCCCCCCCCCTCCCCGCCACCTCCACCCTCCACTGTTCCCCCCCTTCCCTCCCCCCGTTTGCCCCCCAAGCATCGGCAAGGGGAGTTGACAGGAAGGAGCGGGGGAAAGGGGGGAAGGCGAGGGCGGGAGGGCGGGCGCAGGGAAGGGCGGACGGAGGGAGGGAGGAAGAGGAACCTATGGGTTCGGATACAATTCCTGGCCCAGGGCTAAATCAGAATTTGACCTCCCAGGAGTCCTGGGAGGTCAAATTCTAATTTAGCCCTGGTCCGAAATCCGGCTCCGTCAGGCTCAATCCCGCTTGATCCCGTTCAACCTGGCTTAATCCTGCTAGTCCGAGGCCCATTCCTGCGTAACAGCTCCCAAATGGGGTTGAATCCTCTTTAACTTTTCCGACGAAAACCTCCCAGCAGTTGCCTCCTAATATTGGGGGCCTCCTCCTGCGGATCTGCGACGTGCACGGGCGCGCCCAGTGGACCCAGCCGGTGCCATCGCTCCCCGCTCCTCCCGAGGCGCCCCCGACGCCCGCCCGCGTGCCCTCTTCCGTCCGCGGGCCCAGGGATTCCCGCCCGCTATCCCAGGGTGCAGTTTCCTCCTCCCTCCTCCTCCTCCTCCTCCTCCTCCTCCTCCTCCTCCTCCTCCTCCTCCTCCTCCTCCTCCTCCTCCTCCTCCCCTCCTTCTCCTCCTCCTCCTCCTCCTCCCTCCTCCTCCCTCCTCCTCCGTCATCTCCTCCTCCCCTCCTCCTCCTCCTCCCCCTCCTCCTCCCCTCCCCCCTCCTCCCCCCCTCTCCTCCTCCTCCTCCTCCGCCTCCTCCTCCTCCTCCTCCTCCCTCCTCCTCCTCCTCCTCCTCCTCCTCGGGTCTCCTACGGCCCAAACGGGAACCGTGCAGGGCGGCAGCGGTGCGCCCCGCACGCCCGTGGGAGGAGGCATCGCCCATGGCGGGCCCCAGGGGCCCAAATCTTGGACAATCCGCACAGTTCGAGCGACTCTCCAAGGCTACCCCTGCGTCCCAGCCCTCTTCGGCCCATCCCTGGCCGCTCTCGCTGGCCGCGCCCCGCTCCCAAAGTGTCGACGTGGCCTTCGGGGCCCTTGCATCCTTCTCGTGCGTCCCTGTTGCGCCGGATGGCTGCAGGACACATGTTTGGTGGTCACGGGGCCCATGGCGGGCCCCAGAAGCCCAAATCTTGGACAACCCGCACAGCAAGGACAAGCGTCTCTCCAAGGTTACCTTAGCATCCCTCCCCTTCTCATGGGCCAGTTTTTCCACTACACCGCTACCACATGTAGGACGGGGGAGAAGGGAGGATTGGGGGGGTCCTCCTCTCCTCCTCCTCCTCCTCCTCCTCCTCCTCCTCCTCCTTCGTCCTCCCTCTCCTACCTGTGGTAGTGGTGGAGGAACATCGGCCCAGCACCTTCGGCCCATCCTTGGCCGCTTACGCTGGCCGCGCCCCGCTCTCCAAGTTTCGACATGGTCTTCCGAGGCCTGGTACCCGTGCATCCTTGCCTCCTCGGTCCAATTTTGGCCACTTTCGTTGGCCGCGCCCCTCTCGAAAAGCTTCGAAATGGGCGTTCAGGGCCCTTGCATCCTGATCGCGCATCCGCATGATACGGGCCGACGATATCGTGCGCCCTTGTTGTACGGGGTGACTTTCCCACGCCACACATCAATGGACTTCCTGGGGGCTCAGCGTTGGGTTTCTTGCGGAGGATTCCTTGCAGACTGGCCTCCACTGTACCGTGCGTCCTGGTTGTGCGCGGCGGTTGCAGGACAGCCCGCCGCCTCAAGGTCGCCCGCGGGGTCTGCGGAGAGAGGCAGAGAGAGAGAGAGAGAGAGCCGCGCTTCGCGCGCCGCGGCCTCAGCCCGGGCGGCGGCCCTTCTCGGATGGGGGGGGGGGCGCGAGCGCGCGAAGGCAGGCGGCTCAGCGGTTGACAACACTCGTGTCGTCGGACACTTGAACGCAACAGCAAGAGCATAGCACAACTACTACAACCGAAACCAAAAGAACATGCCGTCAGAGATCTGGGGCGACGGAGTCCCTCCGGAGGTCAGCTTCTTCGCCACCGTCCCCTGTGGCGAGGGCAGGCTGCTGGGATTCAAGAGCAGCGACCAGTCCGCCGCCCTGCTGACGGCGGTCCGCATGGCGCGGGAGGAGGCTCGGACCGCTCCACCTTCTCATGCTTCCTCCCCCCACTGCCCCACCCCCTCCTCCTCAGCTGCTCTTGGACCCCCCCCTCCCCACACCATGCGGCATCCGTGTACTGGATCGCATTTTCTCCCATATCACATTCCTTCTGATCTGCCCAACCTGATCTCGGGGCGGGACGCACCGGGACGCACTCGCCCTGTGTGGGCCCATGGGTTCCTTTCCTTGGGCCCGCTGTTTGCAACCTCTTGTCTCTGGTCGGAGTAGAGGAGGAGGAGGAGGAGGAGGAGGAGGAGGAGGAGGAGGAGGAGGAGGAGGAGGAGGAGGGAGGAGGAGGGAGGAGGAGGAGGAGGAGGGAGGAGGAGGAGGAGGAGGAGGAGGAGGAGAGACCATCTCATGCTCAGACTGCGAGCGGTTCGTGCAGGCATCACAGCCTCGGCAGGCACACGGGCTCTCGAGCACAGCACTGGCGCACCAGCTCAAGACTTGGCATCGCTCGGACGTGTGCATGTTTCCTTCGGCGAGGACAATTGAGGAACATCCTTGATCATTTGGCGAAAAAACCACGCACGAGACAAAAAAAACACAGGGAATGGACGTCTGAGCGATGGCGAGAAGAGTGGTGTGTCGGCCGCGGTGGCCACGCAGAGGCATGCCGTGGTCCGTACCGTACCGAGGTGGCTACGCTTAAGTCGGGCCTGTCCTCCCTACAGGGGGATCTTCGACGAAGACTAATGCATACCCCAAAAATGTTCCAAACATAGTCCAGAAATAATCTGGGAACTATGTTTGATTATTGTTTGACCTTTTTGGGGTTTTCGTCGAAAATCCCCCTGTAGGGGGACACGCCCGACATAAAGCTACGCAGAGGCAGAATGGCATGTCGACCGTGGCCCGTACCAGATCGAAGCCACCAGCGTCAGTTCAAGGTCGTGAAGTGGCCGTTCGCATAGATCGAGGCTCCCTCAAACTGACGGTTGTGGTCGACAGCGGCCGCCCCTGGAAACAGACATCAAGAATCTGGCAAATTCGAATCGTTGCAAGAGAAAGCAGCGCCCGCACGGTCTTGTCATCGGCGACCTGAATACTGGGTTAGGATTTCGCGGGGGCTCGCTCGTGACACCATCCACTTCCGAGGCTGAAGACACCAACGCGAATGAAAATGTCGGTGGCCACCTTGGCAACCAGACGGTGGCTCGTGACCAGTGCCGTGAGGACTGTATTCAAGCGTATGATATGATGAATGTGCCGAGCTTCTTCGCAGAAGTTGGCGCCATGTAGTATCACTACGACGGAAGGATCAGTACCATGGATCATATTTAGATGCCGCCGTCACTTGATGATCAAATCCGATGCACACACGCGTCACGGAGTTCAAGTTGTGGCTTCCGTCGTGCCCGGAGTGCTTCCCAACGGGACCACGTTCCTGTGATCGCCAAGTTTTCGGCCAGCACATGGGACGACAAGCAATGCGCCATGCATGGTGGACCCAACCGGTGGGATTTCCTCCTCGCTTTGGACCACCTTTTTTCTGCTGTGCGACGTTATCTATACGCGGAGCAGGACCAGCGACGTTGAAACACACTGGCAAGAGCGGCTCCACGTGGTTCGTTTTCGTGCGCAGTTTTTTCCTCCCAGGACCCTTAGGCCCAGCGATTTCTACAGCGTCGGTTTGAGTTCGCGCGCCTTCTCGCCGAAACCCGAGACCGACTCGGGCAACCGGTGGAAAAGCATTCGGATATCCAATCGCACCAGCCAATCGTGTGTCCAGAGCATCAGGAGCTGATTGACATTCGAGTCGCTCATCGTCAGCTTCCCCATTTCATACGCGCCGAACGACGACGACGACCCGAACGGGATATTCACCAAGCGTACTGGCTGCGTCTATATGTTGAAATCCACAATCTGCGTTTCTTCTGACAGCCCGCTGTGGGGATCCTTGCAAGCGCTATTATCGCATCCCGACCATGCAGCCGTCGAAGGATGCATGTTGTTGGATCACCACCTGAGGGAAGAATGTATGCGGAGGAGATCGGTTGCACCACCGAGCCCGTGAGGGGCTCGATCCGCTGGACATGGACCATATAGTGCACGAGATCTACGAGCGAAGCTGGCATTGGGCGGGTCGTGACCTCAGGGGCACCCAGAGGGTCCTTAAGCAACGGCCCAAACGCCGAGCGGCCCCCGCACGGATCAACGTTTCACGAGCGGACGAGCCTCGCCTAAGATTGCGCGCTGAGCGCGCAGGAGAATTATCTATTTTTTTTTTGCGGGCGAACATACTGAGTCGATGCGCTCGCGGGTGCAAGCTCTTCAGAGGGCCTTGGACCCTGGTCATTGATCCTGGGGATGTCCTATCTCGAAGCAGAATGGGAAGCGAGGGCCCGGGCAGAAACGACTCGCGCGTGCTTTCTGCCCGCGCTGGAAGGGTTTCCACGGGGGCGCTGCCCCCTGAGGTCTTTGCAGCGCACCCCAGGACTGGACAGCGATGCTGAAGATAATTGAGCAGCTTTTGGCTTGCACGATGGCGCGAAGACGCCCGTGCCGCCCAGCTTCGCATGGGCCGCTTACTTCGGAGACGACACCAGGCGCGCCTCAACAACTAACGCGACATGTCGAGCGCCTTGACTTCCACGACTCCCTGAGCTCGGAGACGCGCCGCCCACTCGCTCGCCCCCCGTCGGGGCCGACGACGGTTGCAACTTCGAGCGCGGCGCGCGGTGCCATGTTCTGCGGGGGCGTTCGGGGTGAAGGGGGCCGCCCGGTGCGCCGCGGATGTGGTGGGCTAGTGGGATCTTGCGGGGAGCTTCTCATAATTGCTAGGTTCATGGGGCGACCTCTAACTGCGCGGCGCGAAATTGTTCCGACTTTCCATTTTTCTCCCAGACGGGCGAGAGACGATCGGCGATCGGCTGTGCGATCGGCAGCGCAAGTCAGGGCGAGCTGCAGCATCGGCGATCGGCTGCGCGAGCGGGCTGGGTTGCAACGCAGTCTCCGGTTGCAGCCGTGCATCGCGCAAGATCAATGCCCCAGCCTTCCTGGGGCATGTCGTCGAAATACGTTCATCAGCACATGGACCATGCATTTTCTTCACCAAAGCGAACGGCCAGATGGATGCGACGGTCGCTGGGCGACGGCGAGCTCCTGATCGCGGCCAGGCGCGCGCCAGGGCGGCCAGTGCCCCCTGAGCTGACCACGCGCAGTTCTTCGGCGCAGGTGGAAAGGGGGATACTTACCACTCGCGCGCAAGCCCCCCGACTTTGTTGCCCGGGTTCAGAAAGTGGCCCGCGACGCGAATTTCGACGCTTGGTATGTTGGCAGCCTCGAGCGACGGACCCCCCGCCTTGAACCCGAGCGGGTGCCTCGCGAGAGTTGCGCCCCCCCCCCCCGCCCCCGCGCGCACTTCTCTGGCGCGCCGAGCAGAAACTGACTTCTGGGCGCGCGCTGGAGCCTGCGGTGTCGAGAAGTTCCTCGGGCGATGGAGCGATTCAGCGACTTTGGCAGCATCGGCTCGAGTTCGCGCGCCCTTCGCCGGAGCCCGGGGCCGTCAAGGGCCGACTTTTGGAACAGGGGTTAGAGCATTCGGAAATCCAGGGGCGCCAGCCCATCGCCAGCTCGTCAGTCGCGAACGCGCCAGACGCCGACGACGATTCGAGCGGGGCATCAGCGAACCGCACTCGTTTTCTCGATTTTGCTGGAGCCCGCGAACTCATATCCTCTGGCAGCCCGCCGTGGGGGCCCTCGTATACGAAAGTATCGCATTCCGACCGCTCGGTCGTCGAAGGAAGTACTTGGTTGGATTGCTACATGGGGGGTGAACGCATGAGGAGGATATCGCTTGCAACGCTGAGGTCGCGACGGCCTCGGCCCGGTGGGCACCCTCAGAAATGTCGTGCGAAACTGGTATTCAGCGGGTCGAAACCTCGCGAGTACCCGGACATCCTTCAAGCACCGACCTAAACGCCGAGCGCCCCCCCGCGCGCGGGGGCCCAGCTGAGTGGCAGCGACGGCCGCCGGGGCCATCCACGTTTCGCGAGCGGGCGGGCCTCGCCGAGGATTGGTTTCTGAGCGCGCGGGGGGTGGCCACCCTTGTCCGCAGCGCATGGGCACCTTGAGTGGGGCGAGCCCTTCACGGCGCCATCAAGCGCGGCCTTTGATTTTGGGGGCGCCCCACTTCGCAGCCGAATGCGGCCAATGTGGCCCGGGGGCCCGGGCGGGAACGTCTCGCGCGCGCTATGTGCCCGTGCTGGAAAGGTATCTACAGAGGGGCTGTCCGTCGAGGTTTTCTCCAAGTGCCTTGGGCCTGGACAGCGGGATTCAACGGCCGCGCGCCCGCGCGACGGCGCGAAGATGCCCATGCCACCCAGCTTTGGTCGGGGCGCCGCTTCGGAAGCGAAAGCAGACGCGCCCTGATCGCGCGCGCGAACTGTCGAGCCTTGTTGTTTCCACGACTCCTGGAGCTCAGAGATGCGCCACCCGCTCAAACACCTTCCGTCGGGGCCAGTCACTGCTTGAACATCGAGCGGAGCGCGCTGCCATTTTCTCCCAAGCGGGGGGGGGGGAGAGAAATTGAGAGGGGCAAGCAGAACCGCGCAGTGCATTGCCGACGTGGTGGATTGGTGAGATCGAGCGAGGCACTTCCAATCGTCGCCGGGATAATGCAGCGACCGCTATGTGCATGGCGCGACGCCAGATCCAGAAACCCATCGGCGATCTCGCAGCGCGGCGCCCTTCCGCGCGCGAGCTACGGGGGCGCCAACGCTTTCGAAGACGGCGTCATTGATCAGATCCTTCCTGGTGCGGGGCTCATCGCGGTGGGATTTCTACGATGCGAATCTCGACCGCGACATTGCTTGGAGTTTCCGCCGCTCTCACGATAACAGAAGGGTTAGGGAGTTGTCGACGGATGGGGGAGGTTTTCTCTCGGGCCCCGGTGGTCGGTCTGTTCGGAATTCAGCGACGGTAGAACAAAAAGCTACCGTAACGGTGATCGGCTGTGCGAGCGGGGTGGGCTAAGATGGGTAGTCCTCGGGGTAGTCGCATTGCGAGCAAGCTCGAGCACCTGCCTTCCTGGCGGTTGTATTCGAAGCGGGTTCATCGGCGAATGGGCCTTGCATCGTCCCTGATAAACTGGTTACCCATAAGACTACGATTGCCGCTAAGTGCTTTCAAACTCAAAAGTGCGTCGAGGCCAGTCGACGCCCCCATAGCTTGCCACAGCTCCTCGGCGCAGGTGGAGAGTAGTCCCTGCGGATCCCGCGCAAGTCCCCCGACTTTTTGCTCGGCTTCAGAGAGCGGCCCGTGGCGCGAAATCCCAAGCCCAAGTCGTCGCCGCTATTTGGGGGCCCGAAGCGACGGACCCCTCTCCCTGGGCCCGACATGACGTCTCGTGAGCGCTGCCCCCCTTATTGGCGCACCAATTAGAAATCGATATCCGGATGCGCGCTGGGGCCAGCGGCGCCGGGAATTTGTTCTGGCGATGGAGCGCGCGAAGCCTTTCGTAGATCGCCATGTCCCACGGCGGCAAGGCGCGAGGACTATGGCTTCGAGTCGACCCGTCGATGTTCGAGGCCGCCGCCCTGGCGGACGGCAAAACAGGCCCCCCCGCGCCTTTTGGTTTCTGGCCGCTTGCTGGCGGGCCCGGTGGATCGCAAGAGGGCCCTGGGAGCGACCGGCCTTGTAGTTCGCCGAGTTCCGACGCCAGCTGGGCACGGTGGAGATGCGCGATATTGAGACGTGGTTCGATTGTGCAACGATCGAGATCGAGCGCAACTGGCTGCCCAACCTCGACCCATCCATGAGAGCGATGATTGCGGGTTGCTTCGCACAGACTGGGGCGGATGTGGAGCGCGGGGGTGCGCCTCCGACCAGCGCGGGGCGCGGACTGCAGGTGTCGCTGGAGGTGTACACGGATCAGTGATGACAGAGAGTCTTGGCGATGCAGTACGTGACGCGGGCACGGTGCCGCCTCCTGGCTCGGAGCAGGTTTCACGGTCATTGCCTTCAAATGCGGCTTCGAGACAACGTGGCCACCCCTGGACAACCGAATGTCGGATTTCATTCCCGCGCCTTGGAGCGGCCCGTTGGGGCGCAGGCGACCTCTGCCTTCTCCGCTTCTGCTCTGGGGGTCAGACCAGCGAGTGCCGCGCTTCCTTCGACTCGTCGACTGCCGCTCCCAGGCCCAGGACTCGGAGCACCACTCCTCCACCTACCCCCCCGCACTCGGTTTCGAGGCCCAGAACGCGCGGCCCCAGGACAAGGACCAGTTCAGCGCCTTACGCGACGGCTGAATTCTGGCATGCTCGGAGGCGTGAGGCCGTGAGGCCCCGGGTTCAGCATGTGCGCGTGGTCGTCTTGAAAACTTAATAATTCGACCAGGACGCCGCAGCGAACCTGTCATGTTTCAGAGCCTTCAGATTTAAGCCTTAGCCTGGAAGGAAGGCGAGCAGATTCCCGATCCCCCTTCTCTCGCCCCGGTGGTTTCGCTCGTCCACTTTTGTGGCCTGGTGGGCGGCGCGGACAGATCGCGTGGAAACACAGGCACATGCCCCTTGCACGTCAGTGGGGCCCCGTCTTCGATAATGCGTTCCCGACGCGGCCGCTAGAGTTGGGGACGCCAGCCTTTGTCGCAAGCTTTGGAGGAGCCCCCGCTCTGCATGGACCCTCCTTCGGGGCATTTCCTCCACGATCCTGTCTTCCTGCTCCCCTCCTGCTCCTCCTCGTTTTCCTCCCCGACCTCCCTGACATGTCCTTCCTCCTCCCCCGCGTGCCTTTCCTTGTCTCCTTATCCCCTCTTTTCACGTATCGGCGCAGAACGCCGCACAAGTGCACCAAATGTGGTTTATCTCCCACGACCCACTTCCTTATATCTGGCCTCTTTCGTCTTCCATAAGCTAGCCTGTTGCTTTGTATTCCGCACACTTCATTATCCTTCCTCGACGCCCTCATGTTCCTAGTTTAGCTCTTCCTCCTCCCCATGCATTCCTTCTCCCTGGTGCTCTGCCGCCTCCTTCTCCTCCACCTCCTACCCCCATCACATCTTACCCATTCGTTTCCCGCTTCATGTTTTTTTTCACCGTCCTCCTTATGTTCCCTTGTTGATCTCTCTGCCTCCTCCCCCTCCCTTTGCTTTGTCTTGCGTCCCCCTCCTTATGTTCCTCTTCCTCCTCAAACCCCGTCTCCACATCTCCAGAAACAACAAGTAATCTCGGAGGCGGCACCAAAACGAGACCCCGTTCCACGTTGTGAGCAATTTCGATCGCGCATTTTCGCACGTAGCTCCCTTGCCTGGTCATATTGACGTTCCTCTTCGGTTCGGCCTGGCTCGATTGTATAAATGGTTCCGCGGGCTGGCAAGTTCGGCCCTCGCTAACCGATGTATATGAAAGTGTACGCTTATGTATGTGCATATATATATTAATATAAATATATATATATACATACACATGCGTATGTGCAGATGCTCATATAAGAGCCAAGTCTGTTGACACTTGGCTCTGGCAAGAGAATCGGTCGGGTATTCCTCCGTGGAGATGGCTAAGCCATTGGTGGGTGTGGTTTAATGGACGGAGTGGTGAATTACTTAACAGGCGGGCTCCCATGCGCTTGTGCCTCGTTCGGCCATCTGCGCCTCAGCAACGCAGCCGAGTTTGATTCGCCGGGCGACCGCTCCACATCGAGGCTGCCCCTGTGCCTTGCGTTTCGAGGCCCATGTCTTCTGCATCCCTGGCGCCTCCTCCTCCTCCGCCTCCTCCTCCTCTTCTTCCTCCTCCTCCTCCCTCCTCCTCCTCCTCCTCTTCTCTTCTCCTCTCTCCTCCTCCTCCTCCTCCTCCTCCTCCTCCTTCTCCTCCTCAATCCTCCTCCTCCTCCTCGCGTGGCCCTCGAAAGACGCTCGGGCCCTCTCGCGTGTCCTCCTCAGTCAGCCTCGAGTGCGTGGCCACCGGCTCTGACACGACCCCTTGCAGGTCTTGGCATCGCTCGGACGTGTGTTTGTTTCCCAAGGGCGCCCTCGAGGGCGCGAAGTTTTTCGCGCTTCGCGGTCCTCGTTCCTTCTCCCCCTCCTCCTCGTCCTCCTTTCTTCCTTTGGGGGGGCGGCGCGAGAGCGCGAAGTTAGTCGCTCTTCGCGCTCCGGCGCAGCGCGAAGCGCGAAGCTGGGAGCCCCTGTCTTTTCGCGGCGAGAACCATCGAGGACCATCCTGGACCATCGAGCAAAAACACACACGCACGGAACCGAAACATGCACGGGAAATGGACGTCCGAACGACGGCAACAGGTAGACTTCGCGGTGCGGGGGGCGCTGATCTCGGTGGGCGCGGGCTGCGCTATCGACCTGCAGATCCTGCGCGGGGCTCTGTCGGACTTGCCCGAGGTGCTCTGCTGCTTTCCGTTCGGGCAGCAGGGGATGATCGGAGACGTCGCGTGCCACGGCAACATGATGATCAACATCTTGCTGTTCGGTTGACGTGATGAGTGTCGGATTCGGTGCAGCACATTGCTGCTGGGCCGGACGAGAGGTGGGGAATTGGGGACATGCGGGGGTACGACGATTGCTGCATGCGGCCGATTTCGGTCCCACCCCAGGGCGCTTTCCTCGATGCAGTAACGGCGCCCAGGAACCAGCTGCGTGGGCTGATTTGATCGTCCAAGCTGGCCACTCTCTCTGTCTCCCTGCTCCCTGCCGTCCCTTTCATGCCTTCTCCCCCCCCTCCTCCCTCGTGCCCTCGTCGCCTCCCTCCCTCTCTCACTCCTCACCTCCCTCCTGTCTTGCTTCCTCCGACCAGGGCTCCAGGGTTCTGAGGAGGGGATCCCCTGTTCCCCCACTCGTCCGACCAGGGGATTGTAGTTTTGAATATTTTATGTGTTTTCAAGCGCATGCGCATGAGTCATGCCCTGAAGCATCACGGGATGCTACTATGTGCTTGAGGCATTGTCCTCTTGGCACGTTCGTGCACAGTGTATCGCTGTGCGCGAAACAGTAGTGACACGAAGCTCGTACGCTTACTCCATGCTTTCTGTGGCGAGCCCTGCAATTGCTCGCTGATGTATGCCTATGTTGCTGTGGTTTGCCGTGTAGAGGTGGGCCACTCCAGTTTCGGTCGCTGCTTCGTACGACTTGCACGGGGTAATGGGGAAGGAAAGGAGAAACAAAAGAGCGACAGAGATGAGGACGAGGAGCTGGAGACACGTGGTGTGTAGGGGAGGGGGGGTTGGACGCCCATACCGACGGCTGGACAGGGGCGTCTAGCTGATGCAGGTCGCAGAGGTAGTGTTTCAATCTTCCGACGGTGCATTTTGTAGCCTCTGAGAGGCCTTCGCTATAGCATCGTTGCGACAGGCCGCGCGATGTCCCACCGCGTGCCTACCAGTGCCGCCTCGATTTAATGCGGCCATCCATTTATTGTGTCAGCCGTTCTGAATCCGCTTGCCTCGTTAGTTCCGCGCCATGCGTGTGGCAGCTCAGCGCGCGAGCAGCTCTCGATGACGGTTCGAAGCAGCATCTCTTGGAATTGGGTAATGTGTTCTTCGGATCCCAGTCAGAGGAGCGTGTTCCGAACATGCGTCTCCTTTATTGTCGCCCCACCGCTGACCAGGAAGCTTGGTCGCCATGTGTCCCTGAGGCGTGGAGGAAGAGGTGACGGAAGGGATCATACATCGAGTGCCCATCATGGAGGCCCATATTCTTATCACGGAGACTATCGCAGAGTCCCTAGGTGGCGGATCAGTTCAGGGTAACGATGCCGATAGAGGTCGGCGAACACAGGAAGAGTTTGCCGCGGGATTGCCTCGACCTCGCAGCAACCCAGGATGTTGTGCGCAGTTAAGCGTATCAGTTTCGAGTCGAGCCCATCAATTTCATTCCAGCAACGTCGAATACGTACATTAGTTCATGTGTCTGGGTGTCTTCGTGCACATGCACTTGTCCTGGTGAGTATGTCCTGTCGCACTGCGCGACATGATTTCATGATAGGATGTGGTATGGTATCGTACGCATGCCAGCTCCATGCCACGGCAGGAGGCAGCGCTTGTGTTGCCAGCCGGCCAGTCTCGTAGCCACTCGACGGCCGGGCATTGGGCCGGGGAAGCGGCACATTTACTGCTGGGCTACGCGATTCGAATGCTTGTTGGCATCAGGTATGGCGTCTGTCTCGCGCACTCGGTGGAAACCCCGTGCCGAATCACAGCCCAGGGATGCTGGGAGAAGTCACCGATGTTGCCACGGGCCCCACACGGCCGATAATACAGGCCGCGGGCGCCTGCAGAGTCCAATTGGTTGCGCAACGAAGGCAGACAAATTCTGGCCGCGAAGCTTCTGAGCCGAATGAAACACGGGTGCCTAAAATTGTAAGCCCATTGGTGTTGGACAGAATCGGAGATCGGAAATGTGGTTCTCCAACTGGTCACTAACTGTTTAGCCGATCGGCGCGGGCCCTCGCACCCCACCTCCCCCCAACCCGTGGAGCAGATCTTGGCTGTTTTTGGCGCCTGTTTCGAGCAGGTGGAGTCTCCCCTCATAGGACGCACAGTCGCAAACGGTCGCATTGAGCAGAGGTCCAGAGCCAGACCCCCCCCCCTGCCCCCTTCCGCCCAATGTCGAACAGCCGAATAAGAAAACGCTCACAAACGCACACGCTCAAAACATGATTCGACATCCGTCGATTAGCGAGATGTGTGGAATCAGGATCCATTCGTTGTGGCGTCGAGGTCTAAAGACATACCTGGTGGCATCTCCGAGTGCGAACAGCAACCAGGGCCTGATGGCTCAATGAAGGGATATCCTCATGCGACCTGGAGTGCGTGGAACGTGTGCGCCTTTGGCTGTCTGCTTCCTTTTACATGAGGAACTGTTTTATCCGAGCGGGGACCTGGCGGGCAATATGGAAATTCTGGAGTTGAATTTGGAACCCTGACAATTCATATCAATCAAGATGCTACTGATTAAGCGGTGCAGTGTGATTTCTCTTTGGTTTCTCGATAGGGGTTGCTAACAAAATCCAGTCAATACCCACTTTGCAAGCTACCCCAGCTTGTCAGCCCCCGCTCACTACAGACACACTGATGTTCGAGACAGTTTTCCTGAGTAGTCCACACGTTTTGCATTTTCTCATTCGTCCTTGTCCAGCCTGCTTCTGATAATTGCCTGGTCACGACCCGTTTCCAAGCCATCGCCCTCGCCTTCGTCTTTGCGTTGACCGCATGGCTCGTCATCCAGCTTTCTTCCACCCGTTGGTGTTCGGTGTTCGTGTTTCCTGAGGGTGCCGCCCGCGCCCGGTCTCCCCAATCGGTGCTTCGCGCGCCCCGCCTAGCTCTTAACCGGAAGGGGCCCGCTCCCGACCCGCCGACCCCAAAAAGTGTCTTGAGGGTGAATCGAAGGAGGCTGAAACCAGACAAAGGATGGAAGAATCAGGCCGAGGAAGATGAGGAAGAGGAGGGGGCGCAGGACGATGTCCGCAGGCTGGCCCGGACGTGTCGCTTCACGCTTCCTCGCAACAGATCATCCCGAGGCTGGAGAAAGCCAGCTGCATTGGTGGAGGCTTGGTCCTTCTCAGATGCCGGCTCTCGTCTCAACGCGCGTACATTCGTTTCACATGCTTGCATCACTTACACGGAGGAGGGCTGTTTCTTTTCACCATGGGGATCTCGCGCGAGATTCCTCCAATATCATGTCAATAATTGCAGGCCTGTGCAAGTGTTACACAAACAGGAATCGTTTTTTGCTGAAAGTGGGGCCCTCGGTGGACCTTCCGATGAACTTTGTGATCTTACCTTGGCTTATGATGTTCCAACCTACTTTAGCCTTGACCACCAGAAAGAATGTCGAGCACCAAACAAGTACCGAAACTCGAGGGTTTTCACGTGTCGGGCCCTGGGAGACACTCGTTCCACACTCTTTCGACACTGTTTCGACACTCTTTCGACACTTTTCCGGGTGCTCGAAATTTTTTTTTGGGATGTGGTCTTTAAGTACGATGGGAGCAACATAAACCTGGGCGCGTTCCCCACGCTTCATTAGAAGGGTGCAAGGCGGTTCCTTTTCAAGTCGGGGCTCTCGTCTGACCAGCGGGCCCATGCGGCGCTCGTCTTGTAGGGGGGGCTCATACTTCTGAGTGACAAGGACGGTGTGCAGGGAATTATGGACAGGGAGCTCGGGCTTTACTCTGGTCTTCCTCCTACTCTGGCGCATCCTGGCTTTACTCTGGTCTTCCTCCTACTCCTACGGGTGGACAAGATCGAAGTCGGCTCGGGGAGGGTACCCTAGTGTGCTTCGTGTTTGTTGAATTTTCCTATGCGTCCTGGGGAGGGTGCCCTAGGATGTTATGTGCGTGTTGGTCGGCGGAGTGTCTCACGATCGTGAAGGATGTGTGATTATGGCCATGTTCTGGCTGTACCCCCAGCTAGACTTACTCAATCTGAATGCTACTCTCCTGTCTCCCCGAGTGACGTCCAGGAAATGTCCGCGCCCCCGTTCCGCGTACTGTTTTTTACAGGATTCCCGGGAGTTGGGTTTTCGCTTGTGTTTTTTTTTCTGCTCTCGCTGAAGCGCTGGCGTCATTTTCAGGTTACCGCTCGTTTCGAATCGTGCTTCCGCTGCAGCGGTGGCCTCATTTCCGCGCTTCCGCTCGTTCCGAATCGTGCTCCCACTGCAGCATTGGCGTCATTATTTCCAGCGCCATACGGCATGGTTTTCGGTCCTGCCAAATAGGCCCCAAAATCTAGAAACATATTTTGACAGAGCCATCGGAAGTGATTCCACATTCGGTGTCGATTCGTTGATTTTTTGGGCCCTAGAACCTCGCGCCCCTTAAAAAACGATCCGGCTGGAAAGCGCCTGTCCGACTTGACCCCGTGAGCGGCCCAGTGGCCCAGTGTAAGCCGATTGTTAAAGGAAGCCAGACCATCGAGCCTGGCAGACCCCCTTACTATTCCCTGACATCCGTCCTCGCCCGCCGCAGCTTCCCCCGCCACCGCCGCCGTCGTCGTTTGCGTCGTTGTCACCGTCGGCAATTTCTGTGCGTTCTCTGGAGCTTCCGGAAGTCTTCGGGCCATCCCCCAGGCTTCGTGCAGAGCTGTCCGGGGAGCCCACGGAGATTTGGAAGGGGGCTCGGGGAACGCAAGGCAGCGTGTCGAAAGGAAGGGGGGGGGCCTTACGCAATTACAGTACCCGTACCAGACGGCACCTGGCATTCTAAAGCGCCTACATCGGGCGGGCACGGTTGCGCAGGACATGGAGTTGGGATTCCAGGTAGGCCGTCTCCTTTCGTACACGGGCCATTTTCTCTCTAAGGCATCGGGTGCCATGCCTTGGCATGCAATGCGATGTCGCGTTGTGCTTCGCTGTGCGATACCATGCAATGCTTTGCGATGTTAGGGTTTGTGATGCAATGCCGCAGTACGCAATTCCAAGCCATGTTATGGTACGCTCTGCTCTGCCACGCTCTTCTACTCCATGCTATTCCGCGCTTTACCATGCGTCGCAAACCCTCAAGATCATTGCCTTGCTCGACAGATGTGACATCAGCCAGTGCGCATGAAACTTAGAGATCTGCGCCATGGTAAGGTTTGGGAGGGAGGGGTACAGTAGGGGTCTTGAAGAAGGAACCCTTTTCGTTGGGGAGGGGCTCGGTGTTCCTTGATTGTTTTACAGTTCGCCCTGGGTTTTCCCTAGGGCTTCCATAGGAAATCGAAGTTCATCTCATGGGAAAAAGGGGCCTCGTTCCTTATTTAGGGTTCCTTAGGTCAACGCCCCGACTTTATGACGACATATATGATGCGAGCGCACCTAGCTTGCCCTCTCCCCTCTCCGCCCCGCCCCGCTCGTCCCATCCCCACCTCCGCCTGGCGGAGCAGGAGGAGGAGCGACGGAGAGAAGGAGGAGGAGGAGGAGCGAGGGAGGAGCGAGGGAGGAGGAGGATTGAGGAGGAGCGAGGGAGGAGGAGGATTGAGGAGGAGGAAGAGGAGGAGGAGGAGGAGGAGGAGGATCGAGGGAATGGAGGAGGAGGAGCGAGGAAGAGGATGAGGAGGGAGGAGGGAGGAGGAGGAGGGAGGAGGAGGAGGAGGAGGAGGAGGAGGAGAAGGAGGAGGAGGACCCCTGCACTTCGGAACACCCTCGGACCCCTGGCGCGCCCGAAATCC